CATAGACTCAGAGCCGTCAACCTGAAGGTCTGATCGACAATGCAGTGGAGAAACATCAGGAGATTCAGTCTCATGGTAGTCGGTGATCAACAATAGGTTCATACACCATTTTTTCCATCAGGATCCTGGAGCCCATATGCACCACTGGTTTGAAATCAGGGTTTTCCAACTTTCCTTGGTGGGTCTCCTCCGTATCCATCAACCTGGTTAAAACGCCGGACATTCGCTTTTCGTCCTCTCGATTTCGTAAACAACAGTAATGCCACGAGAAAGAAGTGAGTAGGACTTCCCTGGCAGTGGTTGTACGCACATGGCCGTTTGAAAGCATTTCTCTCTCTCGAGAGAGAGAACTTTCTCCACTGTCGGCCGTACAAGGCATTCGGGCGCCATAACTACAGAATGAAATTTTTATTATCTATTTTTGGAAATAAGAAAAAAATTGTTTCGTTTCGTCAAACTTTAGAAAGTTTTATTACACTAGAAAAATATTTATATGCCACCCCCCCCCTAAATGTTATACCCTAGAAACAATATGGATTTTCAATGGTATAAATGTATTTTGTTTGACAAAAAAAATGCACGAATAGAAGATTATCTCTCCTATACACACAAGAAGCTTTGAAAATAGATTATTTGATTTCATTATCATTAAAGCAAGTGTTATTTTAATGCTCATGCACAGAGAAGGAAGAAGATGAAGAAGACACATTGAAGTAACCTTTAGTGAAATGTCACAAACAATGAATAATGACAATAGATCATACATAATGTGATAGTTCTACTTGAATGAATAACACTTAACACATAGTAATGAAAATAAAGGAAATAAGAATTAAACAAGAATATTAGTATCCAAATATTGTGTATAGTCTCCATTTCTCTTTGAGAATATTCAACTTGTGAATATCGAGATACGCACCCCACCCCCAACCCCCCAGACACACACAAATAGAAAGAGAGGGAGAGTAAAGAAATGATACTTAAATGAGTCCATAGTGATTAGTTTATTTTAAACAGAACTTGTTGTTTCAGCGCATTTCATTTGTTTTCTATCTGCTTCAGCTTTTTCACATAAACGTACAAAATAGATAAGTACTGCAAGAAAACTTAATAAATAAATAAAATCAGCTGAAATTAATAAGAAAAAACTTGATAATGGTGGAGTAAGTAATAAGGCAAATTCACCAGATAAACCTAAACGATCATTGTCTGTACTGCTACTACTACTACTACTACTGCCACTACTACCACTACCACTACTACTACTACTACTACTACTACTAAGACCATTGATAGCAGTATTATCTTCCGGGTTGAAATTACCACCAGTACTATCTCTGTTGATCATTAATTGATTATTATTATTTTTATCTAAATAGAATTGATTTGTATAGTCATCATTTGTTCCCATTAAACCATTTGAAAGGAGAACTTTTGTTAGAATCATATCACCATGATCATGAATATATTCAATTTCTGTTTCAGCTAAACTTAATCCAACCAATACACATGCAACTATAAGTTTGGAGGGAAGAAAAAAAAAGTAAAATCAAAGGAGATAGTATGAATTTGTTATACACTTGAAAGTACATAGATATATCAAAGGAAATTGATTGATGGAAGTTAGACTTGTACACTACTAGATTTTTTTGCTAAGCAATCGAGAGGTTAAATATTCGCACGTGAAAACAATGGTTCTAGGTTCAATCCCCCTATGGTTGAGTTGTTAGTGTACATTATTGAAGAAGCCTATACGCCAATAATCCCATACATTGGTTTCCCAAATGCACAGAACTAATGGTTAACGCTGCAACCTAGGATATTTACCGCTAAGCCAGAGTATATGCAGTTCAGCACGAAGTCAGGTGCATACCAGGCAGCAAACTAGTGAATGGCAAGCCAAACCGGATTGGTTTAACAGTGTAAAAGGTTTGAAATAGGAACATTAACGGGGTGGATTTGCATACAATTCTCTTTGAACCTAAGCACACAACAATAGCATTATGCACTGTCCCATCACCCTTGACAGATCAGGCAACCCGAAAGTTACGAGAACATCATCAGGGCATACGACAGGATAGGTACCCCACTGAGGAAGCTCATACTAGGATAAAACATTCATCGAATGCTTTCAAGTTTTCAGTGATAATCTAAGATTGTTTTGCGATCATAATAAAATCGATATCTGTTTAGAAAAGTTTAGAACAGTTGTTAATCTTAGAAATCCCTAAGGGCACTCAGCTGTTCATTGTAGTCAGTGGTGTAATTAGTCAAAGAAATAAAAATGTGAACTATGATAGGTACTTTTCAAGGAATGGGTCTGTATATATTCTATGAACATTCATTAAACAATTTGTATTGGATATAGGGGGTAAGCTTTCATTCGATGTATTGACTGTTACAGTGTCTTTTTCTTTTCAATAAATTACAATTAGTTAACTGTTAACATGCTATTCAACATTATATCACATCTGTCTTATTTATGGTTCATACAATAGGTCACAATAACGTCGATGCATTCTCATAGATTTCAAGTTCCTGATGAAGATTGAATAAATGCAAACTCTCAAAAATATATCATGGACAATTCTTATATACCGTAGGGACTGGTACTAAGTCAAGCCCATATAGGTTATTCTAGCCTCTGAACAGATCAATCTATTCATTCACCTCAAGCCATAAATTTAACCCTATCACTTATTCGCTTATTAAGCGTATGTGTGCACATTTCTTATCTTACTCATCACATGTCTGAGTACAAAATATCTATTCACACTTGAGGAAATCGAGTTGGCAACCTTCTCTTCACTTGGCAAGTTTTACTGCCACTCGTGGCTTGTTTATGTAAACTATGAATTTCTAGTTTATTGTGTAACACACACACATGTATTTTGGTGACTAGAAACCCATGTGTATTCCGAATAATATTAATAATAATAATAATAATAATAGTAATAATAATAATAATAATAATAATACAAGCTTAACTGTTGTCGTTTCTCATTCGGGCTCAAGGCTGGGGAATCGACAAACCAATAGCAGTTGAATGTGCGTCAGCCTTAGCCAAGGATTAATCCCGACGTTTGGAATATATATCATAAGTCAAGATTTAGGACACTAGCATACAGAAGGAATAGTACACGCAAAGATCGAGAAATTATAGCCAGGATTCTGACTAACAAATCTAATAAATGCTATTGATTAACATCGTCAAACATAACAGTTTCAATACTATTTCATATTTCATATTTCCTTATTTGTACATTATACTCTTCAGGTTAACCTTTTACTACATATATTTAACTGTTATTCCAATGTTTTGCTGTTGAGATTCTCGATTTCCTCTGACTATTCTAGTATATTGTGGCAACTTGGAAAGAGGTCAGATCGTACTAGGTTTTATGTTAATTAAATCTCGTTTTGAGATCCCGCGATGTTTACAAGTGTATGGATATATTAGAAGGGAGCTAAATGTGGCTAGAAACGATCAAATCGTGAGATTAGTTCATAAAGTCATTGACTCTTGGATTGAGCTGTATAGATAGATTTAGACTATTTATTGATACAAATATGATCTATCTGGTTCTCTGTGATATGGTCCGGTGAGATCCATGTAGCTTTGTGTATGTGTTTGTGTGGGAATATTGTGCCGCCTATAACCAATTTGTTGAATCCACACAGATTTGCAAATCTCCCCATTCTCGTTTCTCTCTCCCAGTCCGTGTCATCCCATTATATCTTTATATCCAGTGCTGTTCATTCCGACTTTGGCGTTTAGATCTCCCATTAGGATGGTAAGGTCGTTTCCTAGTCACTTCTTTACGATCGACTGCGCCCTCTCATAAAACTGACTTATATCGTCTTTATCGCTATCATTGGTGGGTGCATAGCACTGGATAATATACATTGTGATCCCTTCATTCCTTGTTTTTAAGGATGCTTTGATGATTCTGGATCCATAAGATTCCCATCCAATAAGTGCTTTTCGTGCATCTTTTGGCAGCATCAGAGCAACTCCCTGAGTGTGTGGGGCATTTTCTTCCTCGTAACCAGAGTACAGCATCATCTCTCCCAAATCTAACATTTTCTGTCCAGTTTGGATCCAATGGGTTTCTTTGATTAAATTGTTTATTCTGATTAGCGTTTTCTAGCAAGGTTGTTTATACGGGATGGAGTTGCCGACCCCACTCCCAACCCTCCTCCTTTATCCGAACTTTGGACCGGTAGCACCCCTAGAGGAGCTACGTGCCGGATACTATGATCGACAACATACAGTAGGAGACAACAAACCAACTTCCGGCTCAAAAGGAAATTAGGAAAAAGATACTTCAGGTGAATAAGACATACATTGTGGAAATCATCAGACTGCATCACGAGGTAAGCCCTGACTTGGAATCCTGAATAGAAACAGATAATATGAAGGCCAAAAGACACACTGTGCCGAGAATTGGAAGCAGACATGATAAGGATGAATAGTAACTGGAAAGGATTGCGCAGGACAGAATTGGATGGAGAATGCTGGTGAGCGGCCTATGCTCCTCCATGGGGGGTAAGAAGCGTAAGTAAGGGTTTCTTTGATTCAGAGTGCCGCCAAGTTTATCTCCTCATTCGCGCAGCTATTTGACTGGTTCTACCAGTCTCCCACACGGGCCGAACACTCAGTGTACCCATACCAATTGTTTCTCTGGTTGTTAGAAGGGGCATCAGCCTTGTGACTTCCGAAGAATCTCTGTTTTCACCATGAGGCATCATAATTCTGCTAAATAAAGATCCTTCAACTAGTAGAGAGGAGTTTAAATGGTTTAAATTGTTTCCTCTGGTTAGATCGTATTTGTGAATCAGACAGTCCGTAACACAACCCAAAGAGGCTGAACCGTATTATCTATTTTCAGGTCATTAATTACCAACTGGATTATTTCTCTCAAGTTTGATTGTCTAAGGTTTAAGCGTTCACTTTTCTACCCATAGACATACTGGATTCGATCAGGAAGAGGATCTAATCCCACTTGATGAAGATAGTTGAAAAACACAAAGTCTATTAACTTTAAACTTAGTAGATAATAATGAATATTGAAACTATCCCAATTATTGAACCAGATGATAAGTTTAAATGTTCCAAACACTCAAAACTGACATTACTATTATCAAGTTGACTATGCATAATAATGATATTTCAATCTAATATCTAACAATCTAGAATATCTCATTGTTTGTAATTTGACTTAGTTTCAGACAGTTTTAGTTGGTGTATATGTGAATTCTGTGCGGATTGTCTCAATATAGCCTTTCTTTGGAATAGATGAAACGTGGCTAACAATGAGATCCAGGACATGTATTTCATTTTGTATGAGACTCATTATATATTGATGAATTCTGTAGTAAAATCAACTCTAAGATGAAAGTACATTCAGCTTTTTGATTCAATGCAATTTTACTTTTGAAAAGTCCATAAAATAATCTACATCTATGACGAGTGTTATATTTCTCTCTCTTACGGTTATAACCCAGCTATTCCTAGTGGTTAGTATTCTTGGACACTAAATCACTCGACAAAGTCCCCAAATCAGAACACAGTTGAACAGGAAGGGGATTATATTCCAAATAACAAGGTTAGATGGAAGCAAGAAGCAAGTAAGTGCAATAGGGAAAACGTTAGTATATTTATAGTTTTTCACATGAGAAGATTTCTCGAGTGTTCACTAAGTTTGGCTAACGCTGATTGGATAAGAATTAGCCAATCAGCGTGCATCAAAGCAATCTTCCATTGAGTATACTTTAATCCAGTGTATGTTCCGCTAACAACTAGTTTTTTTTGGCCTCTCACTTACTATACCGTTCAAAATCATGATTTTACACTAATAAACACCAATAAAAACTTTTATAGCAAAGAAAAATACTCTTCTTACCAGCTATCAGAAGAAATACAACTTCAGCTAGAACATTTAACCATTTACGATTTGTTTGAAAATATGCTAGAATTATATGAATTATAAAGATGTAATTGCTGTCAATAAGCCTATTAAACTCATTATTCTAGCCAATGTCCAACGAAGATCTAAAATTAAATGAAAAGACATAAGAAAAAAAAGTACAATTATGTACCAGTTCAATCCAGTATATGCACACACACACACACCTTAGAATAGCACAGAAATATAAAGTTGATTAGTTTTATGATCAATAAAAAGGTTGTCATACACTAAACTAGAATCACGAGTTGAAGTTAACATAATGTTTAAAATTGTTCCGGAATCTTAAGTCTAGAAAACAATGTAGAGTGTATACATCTGAGATATTGTTACCCAATGCCTTCAATCATTGATCACGTTTATTGCACAGATCTCATCCGGACAGGTTACACTGAAAAAGATGACTAGAACGAAAAATTCATGATTTCATGAAATGAACAGAAGCACAAATTCGTCACACATAGCGAGACCAACAAAATCTAAGAACTTGATAAGGAATAAGTTAATCAGTTAATCATCAACACACAAAAAAAACTTGACATGAAGCTGCTCGGTGCAAGTTGCTGTACTAAATAGCTATGTAAACATACACATAGGTTTACCCTCAATGTGCAACTCTTGTGTTAAAAATAAAAAAAAACATAGAAAACCAACTTATCATGAAGACATGGATTCATTTCATTAATTAAGAATAGTGTAAATCTAATTCGGTATCTTTAACAATTAATAACTGATTTACCAGGTGTATAGTTTTGTGTACTTGGCTTCGGGTCACACTGTTAATGTCGAGGCTAATGATATTATCCATTTATCCGACCCGAATTATGTGAAGGGTGGAATTCGGACCTGAGACTTAGTAACTGAAAGTTGAACACTTTACCAACTGTGTTACTGTTACACAACTAAACAGGAACGTCAGTCAGTCTCGTGTGCTGTTACAGGCATGAGGGCTGATGTCACTTCCCGGCTACCCACACCATGGAAGGGTATTTCTTGAGGAACCTGAAAAGTTGGGTTAGTGTTCGTTTTAAAGACCTGAGAGCGTGACCGCGCATGGCCTTTTTGTACGGAGTTGTTGACGTGTTAGCTCCGTTCTTCAAAAGGCCTTACCGCCGGGGACGGAAATCCGTGAAGTAAGGTGCAGTGTGACATTTTTAGGGTCAACCTTTTCTAACCCAACCCCTCTCTGTGAGAAGGCAGCATCGCTGCAGATACTGGTTGCCCGAGGGAAACACCATACTGCTGTCACACCCTCTATTCAAAGCGTAGTGATGATATAAGGATGAATGAATGACTTAGTAAAACAAAACATGAATTATAAGTATATTCAAATTGACAGCCTTTGAATCGCTGATAAATTTTAAACATGATTTTCACCATTGTAGACTACCTGTTTCTGAAATTCCTATATAAAAAACATAGAATATAATTAAATAAGTAGTTTGATGAAATATTTTTCTCATTTCATGTTGAAGTAAATATTTACTACCATTTACAATGGAGAAACTCCATGCGGACACTTTGTACTTGAAAATGATACAAAGTTGATAAGTTACATATTTTATTCCTCATAGATTGATCTCAATGGAAGGGGGAACAACTTAAAAAGTTGGATAATTGAACATATATTTCATCTCGATAAGAAACTGCTTAGACCTAAACGTCTTAAGTTCTATCCTTGAAGGATTCATGAGTGTTTACTGTTGAGGAGTCACGTACTAGGGTGAAACAGCTGTTCAGTGGTCCCTAATATTCACTAGTAACCCCACTGAGATCAACCTGTGACTCTAATACAACTTATAAATTAAAACATTCTCTATATGAAACCTTTTAACTAGATAGTTAATATCAACAGTTGAGATCATGAGTCAATTGAAGCTAGACAACCATGGAAAACCTGGGAGCACTGGACGGCCGTTTCATCCTATTTTGGGAGTCCTCAGTAGTGAGCATCCATGATCCCGTTTCGCGAGATTCCAACCCAGGACCTATCAATCTCGCGTGAGAGCGCTTAACCTCTGAAACACTGAGCTGGTCGGCATCCAACTGCGTTAATGTTTAACTCCAACTAATCCACGAAATTGAGCGACACATCCACCATTGTCATCAGTGAGTTACTACCTCACAACAGACCCGGTTGAACTCTACTGGTCACTGCTTCTCACTAGGACTCCAGGATATATCTCTTGAAGCCAGTCACTAGTGAGCATATGTTAATTATTATCAGAAGGGGTTTCGTGGAGATTGTAGGGATCGTTGATGCGCACTGCTGAGGAGTCCCACAATAGACTGAAACGGCCGTCCAGTGCTTCCATGTTTTCCATGGTGGTCTAGCTTCAATTAACTCATGATCTCAACTGTTGAAATTACTACAATCTCCATAAAACCCCTTCAGATAGTTAATACTTGCTAATGTTTACAGAACTGGTCGATATTAATTACATTAAGTAGAGATTAAAAATAGTCAACAAACAAATAATGGCAATAAACTGATTGATTAGTTAATGGTAATCCATACCTCTAATAAACAACAATGTTATAGTTAAAAATTCTATCTAACATTCTTTATTTGAGAAAAATAACTGAATTTAAAACTAGTCAATGATTGCAAGCCAGGAACCAATGAACAGTTGACTCATTTTAACACAATACGTTTTAGCAGTTAATATCTACAACTTCGTCAAGGGAGCAAATCTAACACTTTAGGACTTGGTGGTGAGAGCATAGTCTTCATACCATTGATTTGGTACACCAAAACGTTCACGTTTATAACTTTGGTAATATTGAGAATGGACTGATCTTAATTAGACTCAACCGTAGCTGCCAACATGACGCACATGATGATCTAATTGAGTTATATTAGTTGGAATACTTGTTTGCTTAGGTTTACCCGTACCAATTAGGTCTACCAGATAGCAGTAGAGTGAAAAGCACCAAAATAAGGTTTGAGGACAAAGTCGTACTGCTGACTGTACTGGGATATGAATACAGTAGTTCGTCTCGCTCTAGTAGCTGCAGCAATACGACCTCTCTACAACAGAGGAAAGGGTAAGAAATGTCATCTCCCGAAAATATCACACTTCAACCTACAACATATATATTGCTGTCACCGATAGTAAGGCCTCTAAAGTACAGAGCTACAAAGATAAGAACTGTTTGCAAAAGAATTGATGGTCTGTCATTTTATCCTGGTATGTAACTTCTCAAAAGTGCTTGTTCACGAACCCGGATTCAAGAATCGAACCCGCAAACTTCAATCTCACTCACAAACGCCCAACATTACTAGTTTAATGATAATTTGACTTAAACTTTAAGAAGAATATAACAACAATGTTTTCACCAAACGAAATCAAAAGATAATATCATTGAAGTCTAAAAGGCAATTAATTATCTTGTTTGAGATCATGAACCGATTGATGTTAGACCACCATTGAAGACTTGGAAACACTGGACGGCCGTTTCGTCCTATTGCAGGACTCCTCAGCAGTGCGCATCCACGATCCCGCTCGAGGAATTCAAACTCATGGCCTTCAGTCTCGCGCGCGAACGCTTAACCTACTAACTATACACAACCTCCTATCCTAATTTAACTTTATGAATCATTCATCTAATTTTTTCTGAAAACATTCAATTCATCGAATGTAGATCATGGCCATAGGATTCACTTTTGTACCGAAAAAAAGTGATTGGAAATAATTATGTTTTAACAAAAGGAAATTTTTCGAAGATTCGGTCAGTCAGTCAGCTACAACGTAGGACTAGGCACCTACGTGCATCAGTCCAAGTTACCATACCTCATTAACACAATAAGATGAACACCAAATTCATAGAAGTAGTAGTAGAATGGTAGTAATATATATATATATATATATATATATATATATATATATATATATATATATATATATATATATATATATATATATATATAATACAGGAAGAAAGAATTAGAAAGAAAGATTTGTTTAATACATAAATAGTTTTCGTAAACAATTAACCTTAATTAGAGGAATGTTAAAAGTTAACCTAATACGTGTTTGCGCTTGCTTTCTATTATTTATTTATTACTTTATTTAAACACATAAACATTGGTACAAGGAGGCACCAAATACATATGCACTACATGGACCATTCGATTTGTGTGAGGGCTGGAATACTGCCCGGGCGCCCAGACCGAAGCAGGTGGTTTCTTAGGGAGCCACACCCCGAGCCTTCGACCTGAAGGTCTAACCCACAAGGCAGTGGAGCATTGTGAGGAGATGCAGTCCCATGGTAGCCGGTGACCAACGATTGGTTCGTGAGCCATTTGTTCCCGCAGGATACTGGAGCTCATGTGCATCATTGGTTTGGAATCCGGTTAAAGGGCCGGACATTCGCTTTTCGTCTTCTCAATTTCGTGAACAACACACTCGCCACAAGAAGGTAGTGAGTAGGACTTCCCTGGCAGAGGCTGTTTACGCGTGGCCGTGTGAGAGCATTTCGAGAGGGAGGGCGGTCCCACTCCACTGTCGGCCATACCATGTCATTTGGGGGCAATGATTGATTCTATTATTTATACCTAGATAACGCGATTAGAAAAAGTAACTAATTAAAATCTTGGGATGGCGGAGGGTGATATAATGATATTGATCTCTATTCATCATGAATGTCATAAGAGGAAAACATCCTTTTTCAGAATTTAATAAAGATGAAGTATCTAAACATTTTCTAGCATCTTCTTATTAGTTCATTTAGTATGTCATTACTGTATATATAAGAGTATAGTTTTCACTGAGGACTTCAATCATCTTAGGTTATCTATGTGTATACTATGAATAGGACATTGTAGCGTATCTCAAGTTGTTCAGACGAAAAACAAAAACATCAAATAAAGTAAGAATTAAGGCTTAAAATGATATAGCCAATAATAGCTATGCTCTTTTTTATGTATCGTTCACTGAATAAAATGCAGAACATATTGTACACTTTATTAAATAGTGAAAAGTAGATGTACTACAAATTCA